TATTTAAATGTTTTCACTGTTTTCTTTCGTCAGTAAATCTTGGATCCACGCCTTGGCTTATACATTCAATAAGCCATGTTTTCTGTATTTTGATCCCCGCGCGCTGACCATCGTTTTACGCAATAGCCTAAATACAATGTTTATGTAAATATATAAGCCGTTAATGAAGACTCACCACCACCCAAGTGATTCTATGTCTATTACTCTTAATGAACCCTGGTGTAGTTTTACTTTAACTTTAAGATAATAAGACAGACTTTGGTCAATTTTGTTTACATCTCTATATTTAGAAATCGTGTCATCGTCAGTTCCTTTGCCAGACCACCAGCTTATCAATGGCAGCTTACACTAGGACTTTACTTCCGGTGATTCAAACTTAATGTGTCATCTCCCGAGGGAGATGACAATCAATAGCTCGCTTCGTCTTAGAAATTATTCGTAGTGGAAAATTATTTATTCAAAATAATGTAATGACTTTATTTATAGTGAAATGAAATGATGTGCTTTTTTTCTTTCAGTTCATTCAATCTATGTTGAATTCAAACTAAATTTTCTTGTATGACAAATAATAATTGTATCAATTCTTCAATACTAAAAGTCTTAAATATATTTAGATTTTATAATTTGAATGAATTTTCCCTTTGCTATGATAAAATGATATGATAAGAAATTATCTATTGACCTGATGAGCTGAAAAACACAATATTAGCAAATGTGTTAAGTTTAAACCTTGTGTAACATATTTATTTAATTAATAATAAAAAAAATGTAAACTGAAACTGCATATGAATGTTCGTTTTTGCTAGCATTATATCAACAGTTATTAGTATAAAATCTAACTGAACAGCGTATGTTTACGAGTCTCAGCATGGATTACAAAATGTATCATATAAAGGACACAGATGTTTTAATTTTTAAAAAAAATTTGATTTCCTCATGAATTTCATTTCAATATAATAACCAGCCTTTAAAAATAAGATTGACGTATCCAATTATTTTGACTTTAATGTTTTCGAGCAAAGCTCAAAGATATGTAAAATATTTGTTACGCCAGCCCTTGCCCTTAATTATTCACTCATCTGAAACATTATTGTACTATAAAGCAAGAACTTCATTAAAGTGTGAGGTAAATAAAACAATGAATGCTCATAGGAAGTTATTCCAAAAGGTATGTCACTAACTGTAAATGTATCATATTTAGCGTGTATGATATATTAGCCGAGGTTTGATTTAGTGCATATCTAAATGTGGTAAATAAGAATACAAGAGGGCTGAACGGTAAAATCGTTGACAAGGCATTTTAGTGAAAATAATGAGCACAATTTGCTCAGGGTTTAAGCAAGTTTTCATGATTGAGCATAGATTTAATTTCTTTTTTCTTTTATATAAAAAAATAGGGATTTAGTAATTAAATGTTCAAATGCTGGTGCTACGGCGCACAATCAAAACTCGGGGTTTCATCACAGAAAACGCAAGGATTTTTTCCCCGAAAAGGAATTTCATGAATCTAGTTCCACTAAAAGCATGATATTTTCATACACTTTTGTTTATGCCTTCACTTATATACATGTATATATATATATATATATATATATATATATATATATATATATATATATATATATATATATATATATATATATATATATGATTTTTTACTTGTAATTTTTTACGAATTCGAATATGCATAAAAATTAAATCATCTCGCAATTATTTCGAATCCTAGACAATTTCATTTGCATAAATGTACCCGCACGTTCACTCTTTTCAATCGGAAAACCTCGGCATTAGAGGGTGCAAGCAAGCGAGTGATATAATGTTTAAAAAAGAATAAAAGTATTTCTATAAGAATCATGAAAACTTCATGTTGTTTTAAAACTTTTTTTAACACTATTCTCTTAATATTTCTGAGACCACTTGCTTCTGTAGATTGCGCAGATTGGAAGAGATAACATACTTCAAATTAAATGACATCCCGTAATCTATCAATAGATTTATGTCTAGGTATTAAAAAAAAACATAACACAGCGAGATGTAAATTGAAATGCACTTGATCCACTTAGGACAGCACTACAGCAGTTATTATCCCTGGTTAATCATACACACAAGACAGCGAGAGTCCAGGGGAAATAGATTATGCAATCCAAACAATGTCCTTTATTTTGAGAAAATATACATATTGCTCGATTCTCATGTCTTGTGAATGGTTGCAATCGTATATGTACACATGCATTGGTAATGCAGTACTGTTTAGAAAATAGAACTTATGACATGGAAAAGTCTCCCTCCCCTCCCCGCCGTTTTATTTGAAGTTATATAGCCTATAAAAATGTTCTGCACGTTTAGAGAAATATATTGCAGAAAAAATTAAAGGCTGTTGTTATAAACAAATTATTTGATGGCATTGTTAGAATCCATAATCAGCTGTTTCTATACTATTAAATTGCAAAATACATTCAGTTAATTAATCACTTACTATAAGTTGCATTTAAAAAAAAAAAAAAAAAAAAAGAAGATATATTCATAACGAATCAAAAAATAACTTAATGTTACTAATATATCGTTTTTTTTTTTTTAGATAATTGTCTGTCATTAAAATTACCAGTCGTGTATCCTATAAGGTCATGCGTTTATCGTATTCTGCGTTTATCAGGTATTGTGTGCATCAGGTTCTGCTTTTATTGCGAAATTCCTATCCTATCCTATCGTATCCTTATTTGTATCATGTAAAGAATAACTTTGCGAGTACTGCAACACAAATAGGTTCAAGAGCGCTTTAATGTTTTTAACACGTTACTCTGCTTCCACAATTGAGGTCTGCAAAAGTGAAGCAATAAACACTCTCCACTACGTTACTAAAACCCCAGTCACATTTCAAAAATCGACCAACGACCGAAGGTTTTTTTAGGCATCTGATACAAATCTGTGAAAAGTACATAAAACACGGATCCCTAAAATTCTAGAGATTGGATCAAGTGCCTTTTAGGAGAAAATTTTCCCTATTGATCGGTCTTACCTGCCGTGAGCCCTATGTATTGATCAGGTAAACGGAATATTCCGTAGACAAATATAGTATAAAACAAAGGCCAAAATACGACCCAATGATAGTTTATATTTGTTAACAAGGTAAACGATCTTCGAATTTTGGAAATGCTGACTTAAATCGAAGTTGTTGACATCCCTGTAACATTAACTTCTCTGTCAGTAGCCTGCCTTGGTATAAAAATTGACCGTACTCAGAGCATTCGCTTGAGTATCGAATAAGTTGGGATACGTAAACACCGTATGCAGATGACAGCGAAATATTACTACATATAAGGAAATTTTACGATGGAAAAGTTGAAGTCGTCTCGTTCGTCATACAAATTAGTAGATAGTTGACTCTTATCGTCCATAGTGAGTAAAACATCTAAATATGAAACTGATGTGCCAGACTCTGTGGTGCCTTTTATTTCAACCTAACTGGGATATATCGAGTCGACATATGAATGAAAGTAACAAGTGTTAATTGATAACGCGTCGTCGTATATATATATATATATATATATATATATATATATATATATATATATATATATATATATATATATATATATATATATATATATATATATATATATATATATATATGATTGTTGAGTTGAAGACCACAACAACAGTTTTCTTCTTCTTCTCATTCAGACGTTTTTTGAATAAATTTATATATATTGATATATCGTTAGTAAATGATTACAAAGATACATTGTATCATAATAAGCACTATAAATGCTATAAGGTACTTTTAAAACCTAAGGAAGTTTTGCATTGAGTTCCTTGATAGATATATACACACGAAGAAAATGCTATTGACAGTATCGATAGATACTATCAACTTTAACCCTCTAAAAATTGTTTTCTAGAATGACTAACGGTAGTAGGATATTGTGAGTACCATTATTATAGCCCACTTCTGCTAAACTTTACCAGGTTCCTACCATATATGTGCAATGGGTCCCTCGCCTGCTTACAGAGTGAAATTCTTGAATTGCTGTAGGATGAACACTCTTTTGTGAACAGATTATCAAAACGACGAAACGTGACATTGCCACAGTGATTATGTTTGTATCACATCAGTATGGTTGTACCACATATTACATAAAATACAGTATTTTGTGTTTTCTTCGTCTTTTTCAGAATAAAACTAATTGAAGTTTGCAATGTATTCGGATGAAAAATATGATAAAGGCTAGTAAAAATCTTAGAATACAGGTTTGATTATGTTTTTACTCTGGTCATAGACAATTTGTCCACGATCTTACCAGAAAACCCTGGTGTGTCAGCGATGCGGTTAGCGATTCATTAAATGAAGTAGAAGCTGATTTCCACCAAAAGCGTTAAAAATATTGAGCCAAAAATTTGTAAAACATTGAAAGTATTTATTATATAGGTGTATAATTAAATTTTGGTTCATTTTTCCTTTATTTTTAAGTACAGAACAATAAAACAACTTGCCTAGAATGATGACAATTGTTCTATCCATTAAAAGTATTTAATAGCATGCTATTTTTTTGTAATGTCTTCATCACCTTTACAGCACATATCTTTCCAATGTTTTTCAAGCCGACGTTTTGTCATAAAGGCTGTCTTTGACATAGAGGTAACAAGCTTTATATACATGTAACCTTCAGATCCTTAATATATCTAAATAAGTATTTATTGTTAAGGGTGAGCAAATATGAAATCAGAAAGTTTATACATAATACACATTTTTAATTTTTAAATTAATTTTAATTTTCCTAATCAATTTTTGTTTTCTAATTAAATTTGAATAAATCTTATACCTCCCAAAAAGGAACTTTCCTGAATATTCTTGATCTCTGTTTTTAAGTGATTATTTGTTTGCTTGTCCTTTTTTTGTTTTTGTCTTTTTTGTTCAGCCTTGTCAATTACATAGACTAGAAACTGGGCCATTAACTAAATGTACTCTCACGAGGAAGGATGCCCTCAATTATTTCAAGAGCATGACAGGAATGAGGGAGATAGGGAACGCAGCTGAGAAATTGTTTGATCAAAATTATATTCGGGGACTTCTTCATCTGTGTCCAGGAATGGTAAAACTTTCTCTTATTTTCTTTTGGTACCCTTTGATGTCCTCGAGGAAGCTGTTTATTAATTTTGATTAAATATATCCTTCAGAGGATGCCCAAATATTGCATGACTTTTATTTTCTTTCATTTTTCTTTCCTATATTTAATGGAATCCTTTTAATTTTTGAAAGTCAATGTTCGTGGGCAACCAAAATTGTTCATGTTTTTGGTGACTTACCGGTAAATTCTAGTTTAAGTCGTATATTCTATAGATTCTTTGAATCAATACTTTGGAAAATTTTGTTATTGAGCAAAGGTGACCACAAAATACCCAAATGGATTTTAATCCCGAGGCATTTAGCAACTTTGGTTGAAATTGCTTAAAAAGTTTTTGAAAAAGATAGGTAGAAAATGTAACAACATAAAGAAAAATGAAAACAGACAGACAGACGGATAGAGAAAAACCAGACATAATGTGATCAGAAAAGCTCACATGAGATTTCAGCTCAGTGATTTTTTTTCCTTTTTCACCTGTCTGTCAAATTAAATGTTTATAAATTAATTTGCATCCAACTACCAGAATAATTTTGCAAAATTATCTTTACAAAAAACTGTAAACTTAATTTAATTGAAATATTTATTTCATGACCATGTTTGACTCTATTGACTAAAATTCCACGCAATTTGAATGACATTGATTTTTGTTTGACTTGTACGAATCTTAAAGTTTTGCATGATTTTAGTTTATTACAGACATGTATATACGCGGTAAAAATCATTGTGAATAAAAATACTATTTCTGATACTATTAAGTAACAAGCACTAAAAAAGAAGACTGGAACAGGTCTAACTATTTAAGAATGATTTAAGTTACAATAAATATAAGGTATTCAGACATCATACACTCTTAGCTAACATAAATTAGCGTACTATTAATTAAGTAATATCTTCCTAACAAGCAGTTTAGCGTAATTATAATTTTGGCATTTAGAGTAAAGATTTTACTTGTATATGTTTTTAAAATTTCTTATGAAAGATTACTTCGTTTTCGTGATCAATGGGCTCAGGGCGGATGTGACTGGTCGACAGGGGATGCTTACACATACCAGGCACCTAATTCCACCTCTGGTATTTGCAGAGATTTGTTTTGCCAAGTTCACAATATGTATTCATTACTGGAATTATGAGACTGAACAATGGTCGTTACTTTAACCTTTTACATGTCTTAGTATTTACATGTATATGAATTTGCAGACGCAGAACAGCGTATAAGTCGCTAAAATATGATTGCCGCTAAAATAAGTAGGATAATTCGCTATGTCAAAATACAATATTCGCATATTTTTGGATCATTTGTCCTTTTTGGTTATCCTTGACTTTATAGAAATATTCACGGCACAGGGAGCATAATGCAAATTCAAACAGTAAACCTTGCCAGAAGAAGTCTGCAATATTTCATTCCTCCTTTTCCTGTTACAGGAAGCTGTTCGCACTGGAGTAGAAGGAGCAATAACAAGAGAGGACATACTAGTTGGCACATACCGTATTCATGGCTGGGCCTACGCTAGAGGAAGTTCATTCGAGAAAATTCTTGGAGAATTTTTAGGTAACCATAGGAAAGAAAGTGTACGCAAAGGATATTCAATATTATTTAATACTGAATAATTGTATTTTACTTTACATTTCACGTGATTGTTATACAATAAACAGAAAAATTATTTTATAACTTATGCGTAAATGATTTCTCATTATCTATCTTTTCATTCATTTGAAGATGTGAGAAGTTGAAGAAAGCTATAATTTGGTTAGATCATCACAAATGACATTGGTGTACTTAGCTGGTCTAATAGATGTGTTAATCAAATCAGTTATACATCATTGTTCATTTGCTTTAAAGAAAGATTGAGAGATAGAGGAAATTGATTGTTTTAGCAGTGATGCGGCTAGGATAAGGCTGTCCGTAAAATATCAGACTGTTCCAACAAAGTAATTTCTCTGAATTACCTAGATATGACGTCATCATAGCATATGACGTCAAGAAACTGAATACTTGAGCTGACATGACGGGGAAAGTGCCATAACTTTTACATTCTTTTCACATGCCATTTAAAGATTTTTTTAGTGTTGTTGTTTGACTCAAGTGTATGGATTGTTCTTTAAACTTAAGTATGCTGTTATGATATTGAATATTTACAATTTAATATCGTTATTCCTTTAATTTATCCGATATACATATATTCAAACAATAACAAAAATTTGAATGTGAAACACTCCCCCTTACACGTCCCTGTAGTTAGAATTTATAAATCGTGTATATATTTGACTGACACAAGTGATTAATAAGGATAAATTAAAGATATTCTGTGTGAATCTACTAGAGAAGTATGTGCTCTAACTGAATTTTGCTGGGGGATTGTATGTAATTTATCCTATCTTGTATAAATTACGATAAAGAGAGGAAAATGTCCCCTTGGATGTTGTTCAGTTGAATTTCTCGTGGAATATTTTCTCAAGAAGTAAAATCCAGACTTGCCCCCAGCACTTTATATGTACCAAAGATCATGATGAATTGACTTGTGTGACACATTTTTCTCAATAATGTTGTTTTGCACTTGTGCCGATGTGTTTTGTGCAACCTTTAGGAATTTATGTGTCCGTCACGTGATCAACAAAGTCATGTGACATCACAAAAATGCATAATCGCCCAACCCCCTAACTCCGTCAATACCCTATCTCCGTCACTTTCGGGAAACTCGTTGTTTGTATACGAGTGCGATTGTGACGTCATTTTTTACATGCTGAAAATCTACAATCAAATGCTGTGATACTATAACAGTCAAACTCAAGAATGTGTAAAAAATAAATAACAATTACACGTGATCTATTGTATCTATCATATTTTATGTGAAATCAATAAGTACTTTTTCCTTTATGCGCTAGTCCATCGATACCTCTGACATGTGCGTCAATATGCTCATTTTTACATGTCAGTCATATTTATGAAGGTATTGCCAAAGGATTAATATGACATACCATATCGAATAAGGCTAAAAATATTTTATTTTTCGTCTCAAATGTTCGAATTAATGTAGCGTGACGTCATTACATATAAAGTACGTTATATTAACGTTATTTTTTTCTGTTGTTGATACTTTTCCTAAAATACAATTTAATACTATTTTAAATCGTCAAAACTAATTTTCTATGTGTACAAGTTTAAGAGGAAGGGAGAAAAAACTAAACTGGAAAAATTTTCAAATTAATACGTTGACATATTGTAGAGGACCCTGGTGACGGAGTTAGGGTTCATAGGATGTAATTTACACGGATGTGATACGCGTTCCATTTATAGTAGTTTTGTACGAGCCCAATTCCTGATTTTTTTTAAATAGCTCTGAAAACAATGTTTAAGTTCATTACTAAGTGTAACAAACAAGAAACAAATCAAAATATAAATAAATAAATAATTCAGAGAGTAACATGACGTGTTTTCATCTTATGGTGACGGAGTTTGGGTAGTAGGGGATATTATAATACCTGGTTGCACTTTCATCACAAGTTGACTGCAAATTCATACATATATTCCACATTGAAATTAAAATCTAGCTCAAAATAAAATGTATTTTTTAATGCATATTAAGCCTTCGGACAGCCTTTACATAGCTGCGGAGTCTACCAAATAAAAGGCTCGCTTATAAGAAATACCTGGAATTCAATTTTCAAAAGTCATAAATATCTCGAGCCTATGTTTTAAAAATTCATTTTATATACCTATCTGTTTTTTGTTGTGTGCTTAGCTTTAATTGATAAAAGATAAGCTCGATTATGTGCGGACAGGCAAGTATATTTAACAATATCTTCAAACATTTGAATAAATGTTAAAAGGTCAAAGTGGCGAAAAATGTTTTTTTTCACGCAGGTGTGTTAAGGAAGCAGTATGATAATCTGACTTGACTGAATCAGTGATACAATATGACGTCATAGTAGGCGAGATGACGTCAAGTTTATAACACAAGTTTTCTTAATATTGTTATTTAGAGACATAATTTAACTCCTGAAAATAAACAGAAACGTGCAAATATTAACAAGAATCAAATGTTTTTATTTTATTATGCTGTATCTGTCACTTGAATTAAAATCTCCGACCGATGACGTCATAACTGTTCAACAAGTAACTTGAGAATCGATCATGTTGTGTAACGAGAATTTGGCTAAGACGGCATGTAAAAAGATACGTAAAAGGGGGTTTAGATGCAAATACCGTGAATATTGTGTGTTATTCATGTGAAGTTAAAGTTTGTTAAACAGGTATGTTGATTTATTTTCATCGATTATATCTTCTATTGAAGACAGTCAGCTATTTACGTATCCCAGTTGGCCTTTCCTCTGTCATTTGTGACAACAATAATGCAAAAGAACAACACTAAGCTGGATATTTAAAAACATAAGATTTGTACATATCGAAAGCTTGTGTTCTAAAATACTTGGAAAGTGCTGCTAGAATCGTGAGGTAAACATGGTTTGAAGAAATATCTCGGGTTATATGTATATTATGCAAAACGTCGGGTAAGGTTTCGTGCAAATATGTGGAATAATTATTTTCCCGACCGGACAGTGGGATTCTAGCAGCACTTTTTAGGCATAAGAGATGTTTTTCAACTATATTATTTACTTAAAGAAATTATTTAACTCCGGGGTATTGTTGTTCTGTGAACTTTTTTATTAAGGAATATTTTGCTATTAATAGCAGTCACGTGATGACGTCGAGGTGATGCACTACTTGGCCTCAGACACTCTGTGTCTTTATATAATAGTTAAAAATAGTTTACGTTTTATCGGCGACTTTGACAAATTATCAATCTTAATTTTCTTTAAAAAGTCTAAATTTCTCGAGAAATGATTTGTATGCTTCCTTAACATACCCGCGCAGTTGTATAATCATATGTGTATATTTATTATATTTGTATGCAAATTAATTCCCGCGTATTCATTGCCTGTATAAATAATTATGTGACTTTTGGTATCATTATATTATCATTTGATATAATTATTATTTTTTATTCCTAATAATATGTATTGTAGTTTTATTAATGATATTTCTTAAAGGAAGGACGAATAAAATTAAAAAAAAATAACATGCCATCAGGTATGTTATTTTATTTTGGCTTTATCAGTGTCACAGCGTAAAATCTTTAATAGTTTATCAATTAAACCCTGTTAAATTTCTGTTTGAATTTTGGCCTATATATATATATATATATATATATATATATATATATATATATATATATATATATATATATATATATATATATATATATATATATATATATATATATATATATATATATATATATATATATATATATATATATATATATATATTTATATATATATACATTCTTGTCAGAGAGAAAGAAATAGAGATATCTTTTTTGTATTAATCTTGTAGTTTTTAATGAATGTTTAATACCTGTCCTCAAGCACAACATTCATTCTTTAATGTCCTTGACCGTGTGTCATGATTATGACCTATCATTGATAATTATAGTTTAAATAATTATGCACAGTGACATAGTAATCCAACCATGAAGCTTGGGCTTGGAGTGTACCAAGTTACATATGTATTTGGTATCGGCAATTATTCCTTAGTTGGAGGTATGAAACATGTACTAATCCAAATTTTAACTCGGATGCTCACAAAGATCTAGAGGAATATTATGAAGTGATTATACTAATATGGAAATACTTGAGAAAACATTGAATTATCTTCATTTTTCTTTTCTATCTGTTGTTACATTTAATAAGATTCTTTATTGAGCTGGTGAATGAAGAACTAATTGAATTACCAGTATGTTTCAGGTTAATTGTGTTGTAATCATGGAAAATAAAAAAAGTAAAAGATAATTGAAAATGTTGAACCAGTATTATTGGTGATCGATAATCATTTGTCAGCATGTTTCTTGAACATAGGGTCAATATTTGTCCAATATTAAATCTTAAAACAATGAACCAACATTGGGCCAACAAGAAAAAGTGCTTAGTACAAATTTTGGGCCAATGTCAAACCAAACGTTAAATGGAAGCCCAATGTTGAGCAACCGTATTGTTTGAACGATAGGCCGATGAGCAAGATGACGTTGGACCGATGCATGAAACTGCCAGAAGACCAACCCAATTGACATCGTTGGGCTTGGGTTGGCCAAACGAAGCATGCTATCTGGGTAGCTTAGTGACACGTTTGCATTGTCTGTGTCTATAACCCTGAAATTTTTATAATTACTCACTGTTTACAGATTTCCAATTTTATGATAGACATGTGTAAAATCTTTATCAGGAGTAAAAGAAAAGGTTGTCTAGATTTAAATGACAAATGTACTAACATCGTTATCATTGCTTTTTCTACAGGAAAGTCATCTGGCTGCTGTAAGGGAAAAGCTGGTTCTCAACATCTGTACACTGAGAATATGCTTGGTGGAAACGCAATAGTTGGATCTTCGGTATTCCTTTCTTTAAAAAAATAGTATTTTTGAATACTATTTACATCATCAGTGTTTGTATCTTCTACGGAGCAGAGCGACACTTAGGGATCACTTTATCCTGCCTCTGTCTGTCAGTCTAGCTGTAGTCAGTCCGTATCTGACAACTTATATCACGAGAGATGTACGAGACATGGATTTGATATTTTGCAAAATATAGCTTGGTACTATGGCTTTTGTAAAATACCAGAATATTTCCTCGTTACCTTTAAACTTAAACTTTAATGAATCTTCAAAATAGGTCATAGAGCCGATAAACAGCTTATTTTTTTCCCACATTTAAGAGGTAAGTCTGTGTTCTCTAGAATGTGCACTGTTTTTCATAAGATACTTTAAATATATACCAGCGTGACAGCCCACTTGACATTGACCTTTGATATCCTTTGCATAAATACTTTGAACAGTTAATTGAAAACTTGTCTTACATGTATGAATTTTGAGAGGCAGAGTTTCGATAACTAGCTATGACATGTATATTACGTGTTTATGAGCTCATGACACTATTCTTTGAAAATGTATAATATAGAACTACCACACACAAAATACTATAAAAATATCAGAGATTATTTATTTCTTGATGTAAATCTACTAAAATGGATTGCACTTTACATACGTTGTAGACTGATAATAGAGAAGTTTCTGAAACCATGCAACGTGTACGTGTAGGTGAGGTGATATATGCATTACGTCATCACTTTTGCTAATGATGAAATTCTAAAAGTATCTACGTACCTGTAGATTGCAGATAATTACCCGTAAGAGCAAACTGTCATTCTAAAACCCAAAGTTGTAGTGCAAGTACTGATACAAGGGATTTCATGTTTTTTATGGTAAAAAGCATTTTTTAAGCGTTAAATACACTAATCTTGACTTTCAAAACATTATTTTACGAATTAAGGGTATATGTATTCTTTTTGGAATTTATTTTTATAAATATTTTCATATAATAAACTAAATTAGTGATGACCATTATAAATTTAAGAGGATAAACTAACCCCCCCCCCCCTGAAAATTGAAATTATCCGAAGATAAAGACTTTTGCATTTAAAGCATTTACAAGTACACGTACAAGTTATGTTTCTTAACGAGAAAAGTGACGTAAACGCGGACTTGTATTTCTAACTTGTACTATACACGTACATGTACCCGAGCACATTGGTCTGCGAAACCTCTCTTAATTGCAGTATAGAAAGACTGAAATCTCTCTCTAGTCACGGATCTTGGAGATTATTTGATAATAATGAAGAAGGTAAAGATAACAAACAGTGATCAATTTCAAAAGAATCTACAAACAATAAAAATTTGTGAACAGGGCATATTACACGGGTCCCTAGAAATTCCAGAGGTGGGATAGGGTGCCTAGGAGGAGTAAGCATTCCTTGTTCACCGGCCCCATCCACCGTGACCCCTATGTATTGATCAGGTGGACGGAATAATCTGCAGTCAAAATGTTTATTTATTTTACTTTATGTACATTTGTTCCAACTCTACAACAGGTACCTCTGGGAACTGGTGTTGGTTTTGCGATGAAATATGAAAAGAAGCCCAATGTGTCTATTTCTATCTATGGAGATGGTGGAGCTAATCAAGGTCAGATATTTGAAGCCTTTAACATGGCAAAACTTTGGAACCTGCCTTGCATTTACCACTGTGACAATAATTATTACGGTTATTCAACAAAAGCAGAGAGATCCACAGCCATGACGGAGTTATACAAAAGAGGAGATTTCATCCCAGGACTTAGGGTAAAATTCTTAAGTCTTATATAAATATATTTTGGATAATTTACTACACGTGTGAGTTAAGGCTAGATATAGTCGTTTGTGTGCAAACGAGCCAAAAAAAAAAAAACAAACAAAAACAAAATAACAAAAAAAAAAAAACAAAACAAAAAAAAAACAAACAAAAAAACAACGCATTTAAGAGGTATATTTATCATTTAGAGAAAGTTTTTATTTATTTTCTTGTACATTCTTTGTACCCACGATATGTTATAGCCAGTACACATTATGACGTAATTGTTCTTACCTACTAGATGTAAAAAAAAGAACATATCAACAAAACAGCTTCGGTGCAAGGGATTACCCTTTTTCATTTTACATAAGAATTGAATAATGCTAAGAAGAATAATCTATAGATTAATAAAATTGCTGCACAAATCCTAAGCATTTTCTCATTTGATTGAAATTTGAGGAAAGTTATACCGGGTGTACATTTTTACCCTGATTCAACTTAAATCTTTACAAACAGTAATTAAACAAATGGGTTGTTGATATTTGTGCAGCAATACCAGCACTCCTTAAAATATCTTGCTTCTAAAATTACCTTAATTGTTTTAGTTAAATAAAAACAGAGCATGCCCTTGCGCCGAATAATCTTTGATGTCCTATATAATCTTGTGTAGTATAATATGACGTCATATTATACTACACTGTTATATTACACTGTTTTAAATTTACAGACCCACTTAGAGTGTGACATTATACCTAAAGGCTTCTAGATTAATATCACGCCTAAGAAAGGTCCAATTCCCAAACGCTTTCAAGAATGCTGGGAATGTATTCCAAGGAGGTGTTCTAGACAACTGATGTCACTCTGCCTTTCTTGGGATATCCACATGTTAGGACAATTTGAGAGTGATATCACGTCCTTAGAATCATCCCTCACTGATAGCATGTCCCAAGCTTACCTTGATGAAGCCCATAGTATTATTGCCACCTACAATATGGTCTTAACCAATGATCTCAATAAGACTCAAAAGAAAAAATTTCTCCGGGACAGTGTTCCACAGATCAGAAACAACCGGTCAGAGTTACAGTGTAACCAATCACTAAACCCCGCTCTAGATGCATCAAGCGCAAAACGACAATCACGGGGAACGGACCCTTACAAACTCCTGACGTCTGTCCAGTGCTCAATAAATCCAGTGTTCCTCTCTCCGAGTCGGAGACCTCACTTCTTTCTAAGTGGCTGAATTTCTGTCCCACGCCACATGAGGGCGACGAAAAACAAGTCAGAGAGGACATCCGAGCATTCTTTTGGAGACTAAGACTGAAGGAGATTTTCTCTAGAAAAGACTCCGAGGATGATTCATACGACTCTTCTCAGCCACAATTACAAGACCTAAAAAAACACAAACTCTATCGGTCCAAATGTAACTGGGAACCTGCACCGGGCAAATGCGGAGCCCTTGAGTCGTACATTGACGCCGTTGAGTCAAACATTGAGAAACTCTTTTCAATGCCAGACAAAGCCCCCGACAATTTAAGTAAGGAAGAGAGATCCACCTTACAATCATTAAAAAAGCGGGATGACATCGTGATCAAGAAAGCAGACAAAGACTCCACAGTAGTAGTACTAGACGCATGTTTTTGTATTCTGTAGAAACATGAACTTAAATTCTTTCTGAGTAAAATCAGACATTCTATTAGGAATATTTTTACTTAGAATCTTTCAAACACAGTTCGGCATGGAATTTATTTTTTAAAAAGTTCGACTCGGTGTTTGTTCACACTGATTTTTTATAGGTTGATGGGATGGACATTCTGGCTGTTAGAGAAGCCTTTGTTTTTGCCAAAAATTATGCCTTGGAAAATGGCCCAATTCTAGTTGAAACAATGTCATATCGATACTCTAGACATAATGCAAAAGACGAAGGAATCAGGTAAGATATCTTTATTTTATCATGTCCTTATGATCTTCTTACATGTACATGTTTACAAAAAAAGATGACGAAATAGTCTGTAAAGATTAATAGTTACGTATAACACTGTTTGAAATTTTACTGTATCATAAATTAGAAATCTATCACCAAGTATGCGCAATTCGCTAAAAAAAAAAAAAGAAAGAAAGAAAGATCTCTCAGTATTGAATGTCACTGTTTACGTTTAATCGCATCGGAATGTTTAGTAATTGAATATTGTTTGCAAGAGTATAATTGTTATGTAACAGGCAATTTACATGTGACGTGAAATCTCTGGTATTATTATGCTCTGAATTTCGACCCTTAGATAAGGTAGAAGATATATATAATAGTGAGGGCAGGAAAGTAATGCGTTGTGTGGCATAAGGATTCTTTTTTTTCAGAATAAAGTCTAGTCTTCATCTGCAATAATTTTTATAATATTTATGAACAACACTATACATTTTGATATTAATATTTATTTAAAAAAACCTTTAAATTCAAAAAAGACCTTTACCTCAGATTTAATATAGTTATAGATCAAAAGACGAAATAAACTTGGTAAAACAAAGAAAAGACCCCATTGAAACTTTTAAGAAGAGGATTGTGAACAAAAACTTGACAGACGAAAACGAATTGAAGGTACAATTTTGCCTTACGGTTATAAATGTTTTTTACTTAAACTAGATAGTAATGTTAATGTATTAATAACCAATTTTATCTACATTTTATTTCTTTTTCCGTCGTATAGCTTATGCATGAAGCAGTCAAAGACGAAATTCAAACTACAGTAGAGAAAGTCAAGGGAGATGATGAACTTCCTCTTTCCCACCTTTACAATGATGTTTATCATACTCTAGATTACCATTCATAATAAGGGTCCGATTATTTTTAACAAATATTGTGTAAAACATATTTTTAATATGCTTTAAAGCAGTCGCTCATTATGACCTGAGTTACATTCTCTTTGCACCTGTGAGATTGCAAGAAGTAAGAAGAAAATGCAACAATGGAGTTGAATTTAAAGAAATATGATTAAAATACAATATATGTAACATTTTATAATTACAATTATATACAATAACTCATACGACTATATAGAATTATATTTCCTTTGACTATTTAGAATCATATTTGATTGGCAGCATCCTTTATCTCACTTCTTTTTACACATTTCTAAAATACCTTTGTACTTTTCACTCGCAAAACCTCTGAGGCGGACCTTTTCTTATTGGATGCAGATGCTAAGCTGTTTAATACAATTTTCTATTGTTCTCTAAATCAAATTGCATTTTTATTACATTCATATATTATATTTTTGAAAGAAGTTGTGTATCATTTCATTATTTTGAAATATCGCTCAATGAATCCTTTAAATGCAAAACTGACTAAAATGAAGATTAAAAAGAAACAATGTATAACAAAATCTGTATCAAACCATATAATCAAACCTTGTCCAATATCAGTCCTTTAGATCTGACATTCCATTTTCGACCAGATATCGGAACTTCAGATCGATACTAGGTGTGATACAATTTTTTTCAAGTATTCTTCTCTATATATTATCATTTCAGAGTTTACCATCCATAATGTTCCGTTAAAACTTAAAAAAAAGTTATTCATTAATATGATCCATTTTTAGATAGTGCACATTAAATGTAAGATCGAAAAATAAATTTCTGAAAAAGTCAGTGCAAATATCTTGTTTTTCAATTTGCATTGTGTTTTCTCTTGACTCACTTAAATCATTGACAGAATTCAAGGAGCTTTGAATATAGGAAAAAGGGGTGAATTAAGCTTTGGTTATGATTTATAAAAATATATATATATTCTGGATACTAAATTTAATCATACAGCTTCATAATTAAAAGTAAGTTGACACATTGAACAGAATATTATTTCTGTTTATTATATTAACTTAAGAGATGTCAATCGAATAAGAAACATCAACAGGTTAACCACAAGACGTCCCGACCGATTTATCGGTTAATTGTATCAAAATCTCTTGATATATATATATATATATATATATATATATATATATATATAGAGAGAGAGAGAGAGAGAGAGAGAGAGAGAGAGAGAGATAGAGAGAGAGAGGATATTCAATGTTTTGTAGTTGGATATGGAATTTATTTCACGAGTGGGACAGGTTTTTTTTAAAAATATTTTCACGAGTGCAAAGCACGAGTGAAAATATAAAAAATAATCCTGTCTCAGGAGTGCAATAAATTCCATATTCAACTACAAAACATTGAATTTTCTGTTTATTACATTTTCTTTGATTTTCCCTGTGCCACTGTCTTTTGTTAACACAGTGTCATAGGCTTTGACGTCAAAGTTGAGCGGTTGAGACGTCATAGCTTAGTAAGATTGAAAACACTGTAACATGGATTTTAGCAGCATATTTGGGGAGAAATTTGCAGTTTTAGTCTCTATCAAGACGGTTTAGTTTTAAAATATGTCTATCTTATGACAGACCAGAAATTATTTTTACTTACTTTGATATCCTTTCACACTGTGGGAAAATATCACTTTGGTATCCTTTCACACTGTGAAAGAATATCACTTTTATTCAGTAAATAAATCACAGTATTTAACTGTTGAAAATGTAATATATATATATATATATATATATATATATATATATATATATATATATATATATATATATATATATATATATATATATATATATATATGTTAACACCTACCATAACACCACTGACGTATTAAAAGATTTGTCAATAAACTAGATCATTTGTCGTAGAAACCATTCATTTGAAACGGTGTTTTTGAGAACTGATATTTCAGATCATTCATCTGTTGTTGTTTTACATAATTTGATGAATACCTGTTACATGTAATGGCTAAATGTGGTGGAGGTGGAGATAGCTCATCCATAGTGGTTGTCCTTTTTGGGGGTGCTCGCTTTGGTTGCTTAATCCAAGAAAACCTCACACCTGTTTTACTAACACGCCCATAACTAAATAGAAGATAATGAAAAAATCTTTTAAAAAAAAAAATCCTGAAAGACATGCATACACTGTTAAGAAAATTTGATACCTATTTAAAAGGAGAGATCCCTTGTGGTGACTCTTGTCTTGGTCGTTCACGTCATTCACTACTATGTAAATATTTCCCATTATGATCAAATTCAAATAGGTGTAATAATTTTAAAATAAGACAAAAAATATAAAAAAGTATCAGTATTTATATTGTTAATTGATTCAGAACGTACACTTACACTGACATGGTAATTAAGATCTCATGCTGGTTTACACTCTTCCCTTGACGTGATTAAGTTCGGGACCGAATGTAAACTTAAGGACACGATTTGCATTCACATCTAACTCAGATTTCTGATGAATATCACAGACATAATTTAACCAGTCTACTCGATATAAAATGTTTTCAGTTCAGACTGGGACGTTATTATCTCCAATACCTTAAATCTCGTTAAATCTCTTGAAATTACGCGTTTCCGCTTTCCTGTTTCTTAGCCTTTTAGAGGCATCCGTATAATTTGTTATACTTCAAGATATAACTTACAAATTAAAACCAAATCCGACTTTGCACAGCAATATTAAGTTTTGAACACATTTTAACGCCTCGGGAAGCCTTAACATGGCTGCATTCTTAACTAATGAAATTTACATTAAGCCATGCAAAATATAAATAAAAAACTAAAAAAAAAGTTATTTCATGAGGACCTTCATTAAAATATTTAATACAACTTCCAGCCACTGAAACTTGTTCGGAATCGTCCCTCACTGATTATATCATATGTCTGAGTTACAACTGGATTAGTGCGAATG